CTGACTTTTCTCATTGTCAGTAGAGACAATGATTTTCCAGTCTATTCTAAAGCATTAGTTAGAGGGTCGAAGATGACGCCACATGTACTTTAGGCATGAAAGTTTGCACACGAAAATGAGCCAGATTTTTTTTTAGTTGGTAAAGTGAACGCATTTTGGGAGACTGATCTCTGTCATAAATTCCGAAATAGAACCGCACATAATAAAATACACCCCATATTGGAACAATGTTAAATCTACATATTACTGAATTTGTGCCATATAGACAAAAATAGAACATTACTTCTAAGGGAGCTTTAAAAATTCTGCCTCCTTTATCATGATATATGTATATTGTTATACTAAAACTGATTAAAAACTAATTATAAAATTTTATGAGATCTATCAAATTTTATACAATTTTATGGAAATATTTTGTGTAGATATTGGAACTTTTTTGATACGATGGCCACGGTTTCTTAGTCGTATATTTTCACAGATTTGAACAGTTTTTAGCTTCATATTATTATTCACTCGAAGCCGGTATTCCTAGCTACATAAAACCGCACGATGTAAATTGTGAATTCAAGCAATGCATTTATAAAGGTAAACTTCAGTACCCTTTAGTTAGATAGTCAGAAGGCTAGTGGAGTTGAATTGGGCGCTCAAAAGTTAGAAACCAAGCTTGCTCATTGGAAGGAAGTCTGAAGCAGTCATTTTTAGCGCATTTTCTCATTTATGGAAAAAATGCGCTATTGTGCTCGTCATGTCCGTCGTCTGTCCGTCTGTCTGTCCATCCATCCATCCGTCCGTGACCACGTTTTCGTCGACGAGAAAATGCGCTCTCTGTCACTCACTGCAGTGAGTACTGAGTTAAATTTTTTCATCTTGGCAGAGTCGTTTTTTCATCATGCAGTTTTCGCATGACAGGCTATCCGTTAAGTTCGTCTCTAGAGATGTCGCCAACTCTCGAGCCACAGCAGTAGCAACTCGTCAACCCTTTTTTGGATGACCGGCAGTTGTCAATTTATCATGAAGGGGAAGAGGTTCTTCACACGCACGCACACTTTCCATTGAGACATCACGAGAATCCCTAGGGTTACTGACCGACTGCTTCAGACTTCCTTCCAATGAGCAAGTTTGGTTTTTAACTTTTGAGCGCCCAATTCAACTCCACTAAACCTCCGACTATCCAATTAAAAAGTACCGAAGTTTACCTTCACAAATGCATTGTGTGAATTCACAAATTACATAGTGCGGTTTTATGTAGGAATACCGGCTTCTGGGAGCCCGTAATCGATGATTGGCCCAAAATTTCGCAATTAGATTTCAATATACTAAAGATATGATATTTCAAGAAATATTTCCTATCATGGCGGTGTTAAATTGATCTGCCACTGCTAGTTAATGTTGAAATTAATCTCCAAGGGTGGTGTGGCATCCTGTGTTTAAGCTCCACCAAATTCACAAACATTAATGCACGAAATAATCAGCTAAGTAAGGCTGATATAACGTGCTTATCCGCTTCCAGGCATCGTTTAAGTAAAGCTGCCTGAGAAAATTATCGGGAACCAATAATTTCCTACCGAATGCGTTGTTATTGGTTTCAGTTGAAGTAATTTCGTGGGCCAAAGCCCTCGCTGTTCCAATGCTCCAATAAATAGAGCTTCTGAGCCTGCATGTTGTGAGTTAACTGCCGAATAAATCTTGGCTTAACCAGCGGTTATGGAGAACTGAAAGCGAACGCCGTTCGATCCGCTTGAAGTGCATCGTTTGAGAAGAACGATGGGTGTATTATTGAGTGTTCTAGCTGTAAACGTGCGTCACATAATGGACAAGAGTTTTAACTTGAGTGCCAGGGCAAGGGAAAACACAGAAATTTTACGCTTGCTAACAAGTTCATCGTTTAAATGAGTTGATGATGCCTTGTCATCGACATCCCCTGAGACACTCATTTTACGCTAGTTATGCTTTATTCATTAACACTTATTATAATGAGAATTTCTAATCTAATTTCTAATTTTCATCCTTCAAATTCGTTTTGATTGCCCTTAACCCATCATGAAGTGAGTTAATCCATCAAATATAACAGAAAACAGTCACCACGCTTATTATAAGTCAAATATTATCATATATTACACAAATTATCCTGCACATCTTATAGCATCTATGTTGAATGCTTCTTCAGCCCACGTTATTCCAGCACAAACTATTATGAATGAATGGTGAAAAACAAACAATTGGATGAGTGCTATGAAACGATGCCGAATTTTTCATTCTTCAAAGCGAACTCGCCGAATTTTTCACTCTTCAGCTTTATATTCCCATAATGTAAATTAACCTACACTTGTTATTTAAAAATTAATTTGCTCAGGAAATAAAATTATTTTATCAAGGACCTCAAAGAAAATTCGGCAGCCGTTCCTACGACACATTCTACTTCATGTATTAGCGTAGTTTTTTGACTGAGTCTGAATACTTCAATTGCCCATATAAAAATCGTCATTGACGGATAATAGGTATGAAATATGATATGATAACTTGAATATTATCTGATGAATTTGAATTAAAAATTATGTATTACAAAATTACAAGCAGAGTAAAATAATCATTAATTATATTTCCCACAATCAATCTTATGCCGTTGACATGGTGTACAATTATGAGGTATACTTCAGAGAACATTAGAGGTTGAATAAATATGCTGAGTCATTAGATTTCACCACTGGAAAAAAATGATCGTCTCCGTCATGCATTAGAGGTCTAAAAAATTCGTATAACTTCGGAAGAGAAGAAAATAATCACACGTGTAGCCACGTGCGCCGCAGACCATAACGGCTTGAGACTTTTTTTTAGCGGACGACAGAGAGGCAATGAACTGAATGCGTTCCAGAAGGAAAATAAATGAATGCAATAAAATAATATAATAAAAATCTGTAAATATACAATAAATCAACTAAATATTGCTTTTCCGATCCTAGATGTCCTTATATAGAAGTCCAGTAAATATTTGAAGTTGGCTTGACAAAAAATCTCCGTGATGTTCACATATTAGAATCGTTTTTTTTTTCATGCAATGCAGTTTCAGAATTTACTTAAAAACGAAAGAATTTACGAATATTTTGGATACCATATTAAAATATATTTATATGCATCGGGTTTGTATGAAATTTTATTGTAAATTAGTACGGAAATCGAAGTAATTTTTCTGAATTCATATAGATAATTTACAAATCAGGACTCTATCGTGTCCCAGATAAATTTGACTTTGATGTTATACGAAGATTGAACAAATGAACGAATAAATTTTTCAATTATCGCTCCATAAATTCTGATTTCCCTCTCACGGTTGTCGCATTGATAAAGTTAGCCCAATATCATGGAAAATAAATGAATGCAATAAAATAATACGATCAAACCTGTTAATATGCAATAAATCAACTAAATTTTGCTTTTCCGATCCTAAATATTTTATATAGAAGTCCAGTAAATATTTGAAGTTGAATCATTGCTGCTTTTAAAATCGTTTTAAAGAAAAGTTTAAAAAAATAATATAATGAGTGGGCTTATTAATGCATTCAAAAAATAGGCTGTTAATGAAAACGAAATCAATGGAATTATCAAGCATTACAAAGCAGAGAGAAATTAAATATATTTAATGAAACAAATCATGAACCCCAATTATTATTATTTAGCAGTGCCTCACAATTCCAGGGCCCTAGCTAACACGGTAATGGAATTTGCATGTCAGCAAGTTACAAGTTTTAGCCGATTTTTCGCAAACTGAGCAGCTGCGACCACACTGTGTCCCCTGCTATTGTCACAGGCAAATTTCCGTGGCCCGAAGCTTTCTCCAGATTTATTCGTCGTGTTTCTTTGCAGATCGCACACGCTACCGCTTGAGCTACCAAGACAAACGCTCACTAGATGGCGCCAGTCGCGAATTATCAGGCAATGCGGGCTGCACTTGCTGCTGCTTCCATGTCTTTATCGAACCAAGTAAGACAAATGGCGAACCCCAAATTAATGTCGTAAGCTATTTTATAGTAGAGTTACTTGTGCTTTAGGTTTAATTTGGGCTTTTAGAATTGTTTGATATGAAATGAATTCATGTTTCAGTTGTTTGTGAGACGTGGTAAATGATTTAAAATGAACTCGGATCAGATGAAAGTTATATTAATGGATAGCCAATAGCAGGTTTACATTACCCATCAATCACAAAGACCCATGGGACGAAATAGTTTTGATGTATCGTTAAATAAACTGAGACAGTTCGAGTGTATAGACAGTTTTCACAAATTATAACGTTAGGTACTTGAACTTAGCATAGCCTAACGCGTAGACTTTGAGTGCTTCTAATGAGTTGCGCTGAACACTTGTTTCGAAGTCCCAATTTTTTCATTTGACCGAAATTCGACATAATCCGACAAGATCAGTGAATAATATTTCAGAATAAAACTTTCTGTATGGAATGTGAACTAAGATTTGTATGACCTGCCGAAGCGTTGTTTTATGACTTTGTTATGAATTTTAATTATGAAAACCTGTATATACCTGATTAACATTGAATTTCGTTCGGTCCCCAGCAAAAAAATCGGCACTGCTATGCTTTTGAGCCTTTTTTTATACCAAAAAATATGAAATTTTCTAATTTATGATAAATCATATGATCGACTATGAAAATCGCATTTTCTTTATCAACAGTTCCAATATTATTGATTTACACAGAATAGGAATAATATTGGAACTGATTGATTTGCACAGAATAGGAAATTTACACAGAATAGGCTTTAAACTTGTTGGACGTAGAATTGTAAGCAAAATTCAAATGTTTACGATTAAAAATTTATCTGGAGATAAACAATGAACATTTGAACTTAGATTTAGATTTTGAACAATTAAAAAATATTTAGACATGAAAATAAAAGAACGTGTAATAATTTTAAATCAGAAATGATTAGGAAATAATACTTAAAATTAACACAATAAAGTTTTTAATTTAATGACACTGAAATTCTCACCTGTAATAGACATCCACGGGTATCTTGGAAGTTCAGCAATATGAGGCGACGGAGGAGTTGGCTGGGTGCATGGATTTAGTGGATTAGCCGCATTACTTTGATGGAAATATTGTGCCATGTTGCTGGTGGTAGCGCAGTTCTGAAGGTTGAGGCCGTATTGTGACATGTCCGTGGCACCAGACTGAGTGTATCGGCAGGTTTTGTCGCTCTCAGCCGAAGCTGCCATGGCACTGAACGGTGACATGTTCGAGGCCACGTTGGATGCCAGCTGATGAGATGTGACACTCACGTATGGATACATGCTTCTGTTCTGACTGTTATAGTTAACTAAATTACTTGCACTAGAGTCCGCTTGGTACTTTGGTAAAATGCTATCAATATAGTTAGAACTCATTGTTCACATAATTTTCTGAACTTTTATGTATTCAATAAAAGAACTGTGCACACCTCAACTACCTGTGATGGCAAATGAATCCTTTTCTGAATTAGACACTGGAATCGCAAGGCAGTCGCGGTAAACAGGTCTGCCCAATCAGTAGGTAAGGGTGCCTGCCGAACCAATAAGAGCTCTAGCTGGACGGACCGTCATTATTAGCACGATAAGACCGAGAGGCAGAGTACGACGACTACACTCAAAACACTATCGCCATCTGTGGGCCAATGGCTGAACTAGCAACAAGAGTTAGCCAATGCGAGCGTGGCGGCCATCTTGTCTTAGAGTGAGGGTGTTTGAAGCGCCACCCATGCACAAATTGTACCTTCACTATTCCACAACTGCTGGAATCGTATTTGTAAGAGCTTTTCACCCGATATTCAACGTGGGTCACATGCCTCACTCGACGCGGTGCGGAGACTAGCAGCAAATATTCAGTGCATCTGTCGAGAGTCGGCAGCGGAATAAGGGTAGTTGAATGAGTGGGCCGGCGAGCCGAGGTTGGCAGGCTGGGTCGAGTCGGCGGTCGGTAGCCAAGGGAGCGAGCGAGGGAGAGGAGGTGAGGGTGGTCGAGGCAGCGGTGCTGGGGTGTGAGGGGGAGGAACGATGGTCGGGAGGATCGGCAAAGCTCGAGGGGGCGCTAGCAGGGAGCGCACGACGTCGGCTCTCCGCCGCTGCTAGACCGACAGCTAGAGAAGAGGGCTGCGTGTGTATGTATCGTCGTAGCCGGCGCTTCAAACCACTAGCTGGGTCTTTCCTGATCCTTCTGCGACCGCTACCCAACTCTCACTGAGGCTTCCAAGGATCCTTCCTATACAGACCGCATCCTCGCAGCAGCTCTTGCAAGATAGCACAGGCTGAATACGCGAGCTTGCTCTATTCTGACACCTTCCTTTGGAGAGGGGAAGAGGTTGGGGTAGAGGAATGACGTAAGCGTGGTGGGGTGGACCACAAAATTTGAGAGAGACAGTGCAGCGTAGAAGGTAGTGCGTAGCCGCAAAAGGTGCATGCGCGCGTAAGATTTTTCCTGTGAATATCGCAACGTGTAAACTATGGATGAAGTGGTTTGAGGGAAACGTTTTACGCGAAACACATGCAAACAGCAAACATAGACTTATTGCTCCACTGGAATCCCTAGTAAAGATTGGCAAATGAACACAAATGGCGTTAGTTTCAGCCTCGGCAGCGGGAAATCAAACAGTAATGGTTTGCGCTCCTTAAATGCTAAAACGCTCAGGCCGAAAGCCGATTGTAATATTATGTTTATATCGTTATGAACGCAAGTTCTTCATGTTGACATGATTGAACCTTCAGTATCGCTAAAAGAATAAACCTAATAAGCAAAGATGATTGTTTAGTTGAGGTGCAGGCTTTTGCACGTGTTTGGTGCATTAAAATGAGAAATCGAATATATCGTACCTAAGTACGAATTGATTAGAAACAAAGAAGCAAAACTGCTCGGTAAAAAGGATTTAAGATTCAAGAGTGCAGCAATTGTAAAAAATACATTTATCTTTGCGAATAAGCTACACTTGCATGGATATTATACTTTTTTAAATTACGTGAAAATTCGCTTCATGAAATTGCTGTTTGTGTGATCGAGTTAGCTGCAGTTAGTTTTTTATTAGTGATAATGCAATTTCAAGCTCTAATCAAGTAGCATCAAAATATATTCATTACAAATAACGACTGAGTGGGAATGTGTGGCTGAATTAACCCTAACTAAGTAACACTAAAATGGTTTTTCACAATAATTGTGTAATAATTGCCTGTATAATGAAGCATATAATGTAAGAGAAAAAGTACACTATAACAATATCATCTATTATAAATTTTCTTTACGAAATTGCCAAAAAAAATAATTCGATAAGAATTTTCACAAAATTTAGGTATAACGAACTCTGAATTTTTATCATCAAATTATAAATTCAGGACGGTTCGTTTGTTGTAATGATTTGGGAGGAAAATTTACATAAATAAAACTCTACAAGAGGTGCACAAATCGTCGAAATAACTTTCCCTTTCATTTGGGAGATAAATTCTGAGATCCAGAGCATTTCTAATGTTGCAGCTTGTATCCACTAATCAATATCAATGTCAAATCAATTTTTAATAAAAACCATCAATCAATCCTAATGAGAATACCAATTCAAATGGGGACTGCTTGATTCTATTAGGGGGTTAAAACTCAAAAAATACATGTGTTCAATTTATAACCAGATGATCAAAAACCAAAGTTATTTAATTTTAAATTTCGACTAAAATGAGGAAATCATAGAGATGATTCAACAGCAGAAAATTTTGATGACATAATAAATCTTGGTATTTTACAATTAAATTTTGTTTATACTATAACATTGACTTGAATCCAAATGTTCGGTCAACGAGCTTCAATACAATATAATTTTAGATGGCAGTGAAATCACGAAAAAAATTCTTAAATAATTATAATTGACCAATTTTGCTGCAGTTCTTGTAAGAGTTTCTATTTAAAATTGAATTTAATTATTTAGCCTGGAGCGCTTCGCTCCCTAGCGCTACAGCGGCCCCGGTCGCCGCAAGCGGCCACCGCCGACGCGGTAGCGCGGCTTCCCTTTCCGCCACTACGCAACCCGAATTATTCAATTTAATTTCTGATTCTTTTATTTCTTACGCTTTTAATTTTACCTTTTTATGTTGTACCAGTTATAAAATATAAAATATTTTCTTACACAATTTTAAAAATGAATAATCCAAAAAATTGGTACGTATGCTGTTCGAAGTCAAATAGTTTTTTTTAAGATAAAGGATAAAATTTTGTTGCCTAAATTTAATGTCATCTACATCAGATACAGCGAAGCTGAAAAATAATCATTTAAATAAATTATTAACATTTTCAGAAATTTCTTTATCCAACTATAATGGTTGAGAGTGCCTATTTTGGAACAGTCAGTTTTATTTTCGTGTTATTACGCACCATCTTTATTCCATTTCTTACATTATTCATTCGTTTTCTTACATGGACATAAATCAGTCAAGGAAAAAAGACCTTCTACACAATAGGCTGGTAGTCCAGGGCTGGTTATTCGACCATGTGGTGGAACAGCTGCCCAACTTTGTCCCATACCGAACCAGGCTAGCAACGCACGCAGCACAATTTCAGTAGGAAAATTCACATTGTTCGGTAAGCACCCCGCGCCTCTGCTGCCGCGAATATTCAATAAATGTGCTATTCTTTGATAAGGTAAGTTGAAAATTAAAAAAATTGTGCATTTCTAACGTTATTTGGCTAATTTTCCCATACATTTGAAGTGGTGTGTTCCTTCTGAGGCAATATTCTGTGTGTAATCGATAATCATCAAGCACCCCAAATTCTTGCTTCAGCTTACAGGCAGCGATATAAATATACCGGGTACATTTCAGTTGAGCAAAGTAAACTGAAAAGAAAATTTTCCACTGTTTGGCATAATCGACGCTTTTTCCCCCTAGACTTTCATGAACATAAGTTAATTAAATTACAGTATCTTCAACAGAAAATTCTAGACGCGTCGAATGTCTGACAATTAGAAATGACGTAATGGCATACATTTTCGTCATTCGATTGCGATACAGAAATAATGGAAATGATTTTTGATGGCTTAAGAATATTACCATAAACTTTTTCGTGGAACTCAACAGAAAATAATGAAATTATTCATTATTCTAATGAGCCCCTTTTCATTTTCATTGACCATGCAAGTATGATAAGTGTAAATATCTAATTGATATTGACATCTTGAAATTTTTTCGATCACCGCAACCTGCTCGTCTTAAGGAGCCTCACGCTATGACCGTAGTTACATTTTACGACATTTTAATATCCGTGATCGCTGAGCGAAACTCAAGGTATTTCCGAGCTTTAACTTTATTCTTACCATGTGATTGTCTTTCTGGAATCCGATTCGCGTGAATAACCTTCTAAAATAATTAATTTCCTTTTTTCCTTGAGAATAAATCACGAATGTTTTATAACTGGACTCAATGTGACTTTATACGTAGAGCGATTTGTGCAATTGTCACTTTACTTGAATCACTTGATTTGTGAAACGGGAACAAGTTTTTATGGAACACTGCACCGCTTAGCCTAAAGAAAAGTTGGCATAAAATTTTCTACTGAGCTACTTATCACGAAATATTATATATTCCTCGAACTATCCGAAACAACAGAGCATATAAACATTCAATCACAGCCAAGAAACACATTCATGGAAAGAAGTGGTAGCGCTTCAAGTCACCGAGAACGACTAAAAGATGAAGTGAGATGGTCGCACGCACCGACACGCTACACGTACGAGCGCTTACTCTGCGTTTGGCAGGCGATGAAGGAAGGGAGCGGACCACACGAGCAAAGGCCCGAGTGTACAGCCAGTGGAACTAGAATTAGTGCCAGCAGAGGGAGGGAGTATGTCGAGTTTGTGTGTGTTAGTATGTTTGATGGACTACGGTGCAAGGGGGTAACAGTTATACTCTGACTTCAATGAGATATTGAAGGCAACTTGCATGACAATACGTGCCAAATATTTTGGTTTAAAGCGCGTATTAAAATGATAGGAATAAAAAAATTGTTTGTTCTTACATTTTAAGCACTGATTAGTAGCAGCGTATATTCTTATTACATTTCTGATTTCTGATAAAAAGCGTTTCAGAAATGCCCACTATGATTATTTTAATTGCCATTGAAAGCATAGTAATTAAATTGCAGTTAAAAATTAATTGCTTAAATTTCGTTAAAGTCTGTTCATGGAACTATAAGTCATATATATCACCTGGAATTCATATCGACCAATCTCACTTAGAAATTACTTTTTCAAAATTAATATAGTCTGTAAATTCATTACTACAAATATATTGAATCTCCTACTCAACAATTTCACTCTAGCGAATGTTAACCGCCTTGAACAAACCATATACGAGTCCCTGTCTTGGCTGTTAAAATCAGTCTATGCTTTCGTTCAAACATCTTGACTCTTTCAAATTTGAGCAAACCGTTCAGTACGGAGTTCATGCCAGAAGCCTGCTTTATAGGAGCAAGCTTGCTTGTCTTATAATAGAGACCTTACCTCAGCACAACGTTATGATTTATGCCCAATGCTCAACAACAACCGAAATTATGTAGCAGCAAAAGCACTGATTGGTTTGGAGAGAGCGAAGTGATTCGTTCATATAATGGCTGGTTACTGTTGATGGCGGCCCTATGGAAAGTGTATTGCCGTCGGTAGAAAAAAGGTTTACTGAAGCACTTGAAGAACTTTACGACTTAAGTTCCTGGCTGCTTGAATGACTCATACCGTAATAACTTGATATTATTTTCGATCATCAAAGGTCAATGTAGTTGATCAGGTATTACCATGCATTTAATTTCATCAATAGTGTAATCATTGAATAGTTATCGATCAAATTATCGCAGATTTTGATGATTTATTGCACGACAGGACCAATGAAAATTATGTAGAACATTCATACAAAATTCATAAGCAATTATTTCCTAAAATATTTTGCAAGTATTTCTCACTTAAAGGGTGGCCATATTATATTTTAATTAAAGCAGGAGCAATTTATAATGTTTCAATCATCAATCGTCGCAGCGCCCGTAAATAAAAATATCATAATTAGGTAATAAACTTGAACTCTAGCATCGTATTTTCTGAGGGATCTTTTATCGGATAGCCTCCTGCTGATGAATGTTATGAAATTCTTTAGATCTTAGTTACTCATTGTAGGCAGGAATCATAATGAAGTGTCGTTAGCACATTTTCTCTGTCACTAAACTTACCTTATAAATAGTTCTAGAAATCATAATTCTTAGAGAGGATCAGAGTTCATTCTTATAGCCACTGCAGAATATTTTGTTGTCACCTGAAGTTATTCTTTACAAAAAGACCGCAGAAATGTTGGAAGTGCCAGCTAGATATACGACGCAGACGCAATTAAACGACGTATTAAATCACAGACGTGGCTTGCGCAGCTTATTTTTTGCAGGAACGCGCAAGTATACGAGCTGTAGCCGCACATACTTTGATCTCTTTTTTGACTTCTGATCTTTGATAATTTATAAGTCCAAGGCAATGATACTTACGAGGCCATTAATGCATGACTACGATATGATAACCAAACGATAAATGCCACGCAATCTA